AGCTTTCTGGCAAATAGGGTGTGGAATTGCCTGGAAGGGAGTTCCAGAGAACATTCTATGGAATGGCAATCCGTATCTTGTTTAAGGCACTAGATATATGATTGTATACAGTTGCCAGAACACATTGAACTGAGTACTTAAAAGATCTGTGTGGTTTTTTTTATGTAAGTTGAAACCCTTGGATTTAAGAGATTAGCATGAGTTTTCTTTTCACAAGTAATGATCACTGTGAGGTGCAGCCCCATAAACTCCGCACACCTTGGGGATAACGAAGGAGTTGGCCATACTAATGCTGGGAGAGCCTTGTGATCACCCCAGCCGTGGATACCCCAGAGCTGGAGAGAAGGGCATTTGTACAGACCGCTGACATCCTCTTCGACAGAAGTCATGTTTGGGCTGCAGTCAGGAGCCAGCCCTGTGTAGGTTTTTGCTGGGACTAGGAGAAGCCCTGATACTCGTTGCCAGAGTGGCAGTGAGTACATGCTCATCCATGTGTGCTTGGGGCATAGCTGCTTGCTGCTTCAGTGTCCCAGCCACACCTGGATCTCAGGCTGGCCATCAGTTCCACATCTTCCCACTCTGAGGTTCAAGCATCCATCTGATGGGAAAGAAGTTTCCCAGCTGAGATGAGGCTTCGACCCAACCCGAAAGCTCAATGAGTCTGCTCTTGGATCTCTGCTCTTCCCCATGGAGGCCCAGGGACTGATTGGAATGGGTGACCCAGCATGATCATAAGAGCTGTTTGCTTATTAGCTATGCATGCCCCACTATGCATGTCCCAGAGATGCTACAGCCCCAGGGAGCCCTGCAAGGTTAGGGAAGAAAATAAGGAGCTAAGTCACTAAAGGAAAAATGAGAGTTTGAAGTCAGGAGCTCTTTCTTGGAATCATATTACCTCCAGTAAAATTGTATTATATGTAATGAAATAAGTGTCAGAATGCAACATGCCCCATGAAGACCCAAGTCAAGCGGATGTCGTTGTCATTTCCTTGGCCAGCCTGGCCCGTCCTGGGATCCCCACTCCCCAAGGAGAGCAATTATCCCAATTTGTTTTATTGCATTAGTGTGGGCAGAGCTGAATAAAGGGGCTTTCTTCCTTCCTGCGGGAGCAGTCGGGAGACCAGACCTCGGACTCCAGCCTGAGGGCAGCATGGGAATTTCTGGGAAACGATGTCTGCAATGTTCTGACCTATGGCCCCCAGCTGCAGCAACCCCCACCCCCACCCCCGCTCGTGCGGGCTCCCAGGCTTGGTTCCTTAGCGCCGTCTTTGTGCCTCTATTTCCAGCCACTTGTCTTGGAACCACCCTCAGGAGGAAGACAGCCACACTTGGTGGTCTAGAAAGTCATCGAGTCCTAAATGTTTCCAAGGACCTATGACAATTCCTTCTACCCACTCTGTGCAGCCCCGCTTCAAAATCTGTCACAGGCAGGTATCACAATGGCAATTTTCAGAGGATCTCCAGGATTTGAGAGAGGGCAAAATTAAACTCCACAAAATATGACTTTAGTGATTTATCTTCCCAATCACATGTACATTCCAAAGGATGTCCTATAACTGACTGGTACTTTCTGTATGCACATATGCTTGCCGTTTGTGGGTTTAAGTGGTCAATTTTTATTGTATTGCACCTTGGGGTCAGAAAGGACCAATACCACCAAACTGACACTGGGAAGTAAGAAATGGAGCCAGGTGGTGATACTGAGTTGGCTGGGGCCCTTCATATATGGAGACAGGTCAGCCGTTGTGATTGCTAACATAACACATGGGACACTAAGCAGTGAGCCTCAAATGCAGCAGTCACCACATGTCGTGAGACACGGGGCCCCCCTCACAAAGCACATGGGGTACCCTCACCTGTTAAAGGTGCACATGGGGCTCTATGGGCCCGGCTCAGCTCCCATAAGAGAGAAACAACATGCTACTTGGGTCAGGGCAGAATCCAGGGTGCCTTGGCCCCCACTGGCCCAACCTCCCCGTCACTCCTGAGTGGCACCCCGGACACCACGCCTGCTTGTGGGAGCAATGGCCTAACCCTCTGTGTCTGTGAACTGCTCATTAGTGCCCAGGGCTCCAGGGTCCATGAGGTGTCACCTTTGCGGAAAAAGGGCAGGCAGGGACTCTGATGATGATAGAACAGGTGTACATTCAAAATGAGGCGCTGCAGACAGAGCCGTCTGTGGTGCTGCAGGTGCTCCTGAGGAAAGGGGCCGCCTCCCTGGCATTCACGTGCTGTCACCCCTCGCCTCACTGCAGGCCTGCAAAGTGCCCCACCTACCCGTGCCCCCTTCAGGAGTGAAGGGACTTGTGCAGCTTTATAGAAATGAGTGTTCTGTGATGTGAGGCCTTGGAATTTCCCATTTCCAAATGGGAATTTTTAAGATGAGTGTCCTCACACACTTGAGCTTCAGAGAGGAACCCGTCTGCATCCCACAGGCTCCTGCCTTTATGTTCCTGCCTCCCACCCACTGCCTGTAAGGCCTGGGGCTTCCCCAGTCACCCTGGAAAGTTCCAGCACCCTGGCATTCCTGTTCCCAGGCAGAGAGCGGGGCTGTGTGGACAGCTGCAGGTCACTCAGCTCTCTTTGGGTCTGCTTGTTAGTGGCTTATCTGTGCCGGGGTTTTTTTTTTTTTCTTTCAGAATTAATTTTGGGCTGAAAAAAGTCTCAAAGAAGGCTTTGTTCCTTTGACACTTACTCTGGAAGAAAAAAAAAATCTGTGGAAAATCTGACATCTGCATTGTAGGGAGAAATCAGTAGATGGGGAGGAATATAATTATCCTCCGTTCCTGAAAGAATGTCTCAGATTTTTAAGTGTCTTATATCAGCTTAGAGTTTGAATGACATTTTAATTATTTTGTTTTTTTTCTTCTTTGCCTGGTTTGAATCTCCAAAGAGTACCACTCTCAGATTCTGAAGGGATGCAGGGAGTGGAGCCGTGCTCACGAGGGAGCCTCGTGTGACCTCATGGCTGAGGTTTTCTGCAGAACAAGGGGCGCGTTTTCATCAGAAACCAGCAGTTCTCCCATAGGCAGGATGGGCTCTGGAGATCTGGGTCATCGGGACGCTTTTGACTTTTGAAGCTCTGTTTTCACACAAACATGACTGTATATGGACAGATTCAGACTGGAAGTTGTCTCTCGCACTTGTGATCTAAGCAAACCCAGTTTCCAGAAAGATGTGACTCTCCGCTTTTCAAAGTGATTCATTCATTTTTATACTTGGAGCACAGCTTCACATTGGTGCCTCAGCTCCATGACATTGGAAGCAGCAGGTGCAACTAAAGGCCAGCTGGGTTCAGCCCCACTGAGGTGTGAGGCCCCAGCAAGGTGGCTGCTGAAGCAGAAAGTGGCTTCTCCAGAACCAGCTTCACAATAGCCTTAGGGTCTTAATGGTGCTCGGAAAATTGAGTACTGAAGTTCCTTTGGGGTGCATTTGTAAGCCGCTGTGAGGTACATGCATGTTTCTCTCAGTCCAGCACTTGTGCACTGGGGAGCTCTATCTGTCTTACTGTAGAAGGTATGTAGCCTTCACAAGTCCCTCCACATTTCTCCTCCCTGATCCTTTGGGTGTCCCTGAGTCCCTACCACCCACCCGGGGTCCAGGTCAGAAGTCTTGACTGCTCCCCACCCCACAACTGCTCCGGTCCCTCTGCCCATCCTGTGGGCTCCATGTCTCAGACATGTCCGGAATTGGACGTGCCCCACAACTCAAACCGTCATTCTGCCTTGCTGGCTGCGTGGCCGCCAGAGGACCCATATACTCACACTCCGGTCTCTGGCCCAGAGCCCTCAGCCGCCCCAAAGTCTTTTGCATGCGTTAAGGTTAGTTTTATGTGCCAACCAGTCTCATCCGCTGTCCCCAAGTATGCAATCAAACATCTGTCTCAGTGCTGCAGCAAGGGTGTTGCACAGATGTGACTGAAGTTTATGATCAGTTGACGTTAATGGGGAATACTATCCTGGGAAGCCTGCTTGGGCACATGCATGGATGGATGGATGGATGGATGGATGGATGGATGGAACTGAGGTAGTCATTGCTGCAGAAACCACTGTCACAAGAGAAAGCTGAGTTGCGTACCATTTATTGGTGCAGCTTCTTTCTCACTTTCGAATACAGCTATTACGTAAGAGACAGAAATTGGAACTGAATCTCTGCATCTCAAGCAATGTTTTTATTCCCTGTAGAGGAACAGTTGGTCTCTGACTTACAAAGGAATCGTGTGGAGAGAAAGAGGATTGTTAGGTGGGTGGGGGACAGGCATGTGAGCTGACTGTCCTCCCTGCAACTGCAGACCAGCCATGACATGGACATTGCATGGCGTCGTGGAAGCTGCGCAGCGTTGCAGGGGAGCCACCTGTGCTGGGCTGGCTAGCCAGCACCAGGAGCTCACCCACAGGCTCTTCAACAGAGTCCCCTCTCCCTGTAGCCACTTTCCTGGCGGACCAGACAGCAAAGCAGCTTGCTGGAGGCACTCTCTGCCCAAGCACCAGGGATTTCCTGGGTGCCGTGAAACGGTAGTGACCATTCAAGGAGATGGCTGGACATACTCGTCCAGCCCACCTGAGCTGCTGAATAACGTGTCATCACAGCAGTTGCAGTATTGTCCCTTTCACATCCTCCTTGGCGTCTATAGAACTGTAAGGTTGTGTGTATGTAGCTTTGCAAGTTTGTCCATTTTTAAAGCCTCCTAGTTACATTACCGTGTTGACACTCTAAAAACTGAGTTATAAAGAAAGTGCAGAAGGCACTCACTCTAACAAGGAAACCAGTGTTTCTTTTTCCATGTAGCATTTGCTGACTTTTTGTCATTACAGCCTTTGTGAAGCTTTCTTTAAATCTTACCCTTTTCATCACTTCAGGTGTAAGATAAAATATTTTGCCCCCTTGAAGTTCCTTTTAGTGTGGATTTTCTCCCCGAGCAGCGATTCCCCTGTCGCTAGGGATGCTTGCTGTTCTGGGGAATTGAGTCACGTTGCTTCCTCTCTGTCTTGCCTTGGCAGGGCCTGATCAAGATCCGGGGGGACCAGTGCTGGCAAGACCTCACCTGCATGGACTTCCACTACGAGGTGAGTAGCAGTGATGTGGTGACACAGACTTCAGCCCATTTAGACGCCCTTTCCTGCTTCCTTTCTCTGAGAGGCAGTGTCCTGCTTGCTGAGGCTGGCAGCATGGGAAACCGGCCACCACGGTTGTGAGTCTGGCAGATCTGGTTGTGGGCGCTGCGTCCCTCTGCTGCTGTCCGCAGTCCTGCCTAGGCCCCGGATGTCAGGCCAGGCACCCTCCCTCCTAGAGTCTGAGCTGACCCTTCGGCCCTGTGCCCCGCCCCCAGCCTTGGTGGATGTGGGTACAGGCATGTCTCGGCTTCCTGGGGGGCAGACCCTAGTCCTACTGTGTTCAGACGCCTCCAGCCCAGGGTTTTGGGCACGCTCCACCCACCCAGGCCCTCATGTGAGCCCCTCTAGACATTCCTGTCTCTGCTGACTGCTGGCCTCTTCATGGGAGGCTGGGATCATTTTTCCTTAGAAATTAATTTGAAGGCATTTGGCATTGAAATGTCATTCATCTTCTCAGTAATGTTGGCTCATCGAGTACAGAGTGCATGCCTGTTGTGTGTCCATTCTCACATTGGACTCGTGTTGCTCTTGTTGGCAGCAAAAACCTTGACATGGCTAGTGCACCACTGGTCAGATAGGACTTTTTCTTCCATGTTCCCTGCTCATTGATTATGGCTTAAATACAGGAAAGTGGTTTTTATCTGCTTTTCTTCTGAAAGGCAGCTTGCAGACAGTCTTATGCCTTCTGTGGCTTTCAGTCCCAAGTGGGTTCAGTCCTGGATGTTGCCTGAGTCCTGGGGTAGTGCCCCCTTGCTGCTGTGACTGAGTGAATCCTGGGCTATGTTACCTGTTAAGCAGCCCAGGATGGAGGTGTCCTCTCTGTGCTGCATTTAAGGGATCAGGCCTTACTTTAGGGTCTGGAGATCACCCCATGTCTCACCTAATGTATCTCAGAATGTCCTCCCCTCCTACCCAAGGACCCATGGGGCCCACCCTTGGTCCTGGAGCTGACCTCTCAAAAAGTGCCAGAGAGGAAATGTTCCCGAGTTGGCAGGCAGGAGTGTGGGTCCCCATGGTCTGGGCCAAGGGCCCTTGCTCTGGCTGGGCCTGCCTGCCAGCCCCCTCAGCCACCCTGTCAACACTGACCTGATGTGTGAAGACTGTGTGTGTCCCCCGGAAGGGCATCAGAGCATGGTGAACAGGTGGTGCCTATCAGTCCCCAGGGTGCAAATACCTGTGCTCACTGTGCATGCAGCCCTCTGGCCAGGATGGAGGCAGCTTCGGGACCCCTGCGTTAGGACAACAGGAGGAGCCTTCGGGAGTGGAGGGCTGGGCTGGTCTAGTGCCCCGAGGAGGGCATGGAGTTGGCACACACCACAGCAGAGCTGTTTGTCCCCAAAGGCCTTCCTGGGATTTGAGCAGGCAGTGGAAATGTGGCTACCACAGTGCTGGTATGTGAACCAAGTCCTGAGAACAGTCAGCAGCCTGTGACATTGGTGTGTGTGAGGTCAGGGCCACTTGGAATCGACGTTCTAGGATAAGCCAAGTCATGGCTCATGGAGAACCAGGGATGTGATGGCCAACGATCATACCGGATCCAGGGCTGAACAGAGCGGCAGTCTGAGGCCCTGGTTGCTCAATGCTACTGTCACAAAGAACGTGGGCCGTAGCATCCGAGTCAGGCCCTTTGGAGGGACTAAACCTCCTCACTCGCTGTAGCTGCAGAAGCCTTTCCTCAGTGGAGTCTTGTTTCAACACCTACTTTGTAAGCTGGGTTAGAGTGAGGGCAATGACTAATGTCTCATTAGGGGCCATGCTGTTTGCTGACTGCAGACTAATCTGTCCCTTTGAAGTTGTCTGTGGCCCTGGCACAAGGATGGGTAGGCCACATGGCCTCTCTTCTGTGATCTGGACTCCTCCAGTCCATGGCCAGTGACAGTGGAGGCTCCAGGTAATGGTGGGGCCTGTGGGATGGTAGAGGGTGCCTCATTCCCTGCCATGGCTCCACTGGTGGAGGCCTCATGAGAGAGACCCACTGCAGGAGATGGCCAAGCCGGCGGGGTGGCAGGAACGGCCTGGGCAGCTGGGAGAGCTCCCCGTGAGACAAGAGCTCAGACTCCTCACCCCTCTCATCATTGCTTCTACTTCACCTCGCACTTGGCTATTACTGAGGAAGCCCCTGTCGCATGGTGTTACCACAGCAAGGCCTGGTGAAGGCCTAAGACATCAGGAGGTCCCAGAGCTGAGCCCTGGCATGTCTGGTGCTTAGGGTTCTGTGAATTCTCCCAAGGGTCCTGACCCTGCGGGGAAATGGTAACTGAGCTCTGCTCACCTGGACCCCGCCAGTGAGTGGAAGGCCGGTGGGAGATGCTTGAGCTCCCTGCCCTCCTGCCTCTGGGGCACAGCCCATGTCCTCATGACGTGATTGCTCTGTGAGGCCCCAGGTCCTTGTGCTGTCTTTCTACACCCTCACCATCTGGACAAGGTATCAGGGTCAGAGATATGCTGTCCCTACTCCTAGTGTCTAGAGACCTGGATCACTTGGCAGGAGCCTGGTGACACTCCCACATGATGTCTTTCAGAAACACAGACAGCAAGATGAGCAGCATTGCCATTCCAATTCCCTGCACAGGTCCAGGAGCCCACACACCGTTGGGTAGGAGAGGCCCTTACTTGCCAGTCAGCCTTGGCCTGGACGGCCCATGCACCCACACAGCCCCTTGCCTTTCCATCTGCTCATAGCAAAGAGGTGGGTTGTTGGTGAGTTGAGTCCGTCAAATCAGAAGCAACACAGGCAAACGTCTTTTGAATGCAAATCATTAGTCACAGCAAGAGAAAAGGCAGGCGGCCTCTGCGTGACGCTCCACCACTGAGTGCAGTTCCTGCAGATTTGGTGATGGCTAGACCTGTAGCCGCACAAAACCAGTGTCACTGACACATCCAAGACACAGTAACATTCTGAAAGCCTCCATCCACAAATTGACGGGCTCTGCTCCAACACTTAGTGAAACCATCCACAAGAAATGCCCACAGGCACACCACAGCTGTCAGACACTAAAGGAAAGGAAGAAAAATAAAATCAGCTTACTTGATAGCAGTTTTATGTTTTGTCCAGTTACCTTTAAAATATGCAACATTCCACTTGGAAAACTAAGAAAATGCTCTTAACAGCAAACTTGCATTTCTGTGTGGACCACTCTACTCTATCCTGTCAACCTATGGTCACTGGTGCCAACTCAGCACCAACAGGAATCCCCAGTTTGGGATGTGGTGAAGAAGGAAACTTTGTTCAATGTGATACAGCACAGCTGTGAAAACAGCACAGCTGGGAGAAAGCCCTGGGGCCAGGCCCCTCTTTGGCCCCTGCTCCTCACTGCTCTGCTCTGCTCTGGTCTGCTCCCCTCTGCTCTGGCCTGTGCTGGTCTGCTCTGCTGAGGCATCTTTGATTTCCGCTCAGCCAAGGAAATGCAATCTTCACTCGGGTGGAAAGGGAAAGTGTGCTCCTAGCCCCAGAAGGGAGCTGTCTTATATGGACATAAGGCCCTCCTCCCCGGATCCCTGAGTGGTCTGTCCTCATGCAAATGAGGACTCCAAATCTTCCAAGTTTGATTGGTCCAAAAGACACTCTCCTGATTGGTCAGAATAGAGCTGCTCTGGTTGATCAGAGCTGCACAGCTCCAGTTGGAGCAGGAAAGCTTCAGTCCTATTGGTTGAGATAGGACCCCAGGAACTCGTTTATGAGGACTGGCTCAGAGTGCAGAAACACAGGGCAGATAGGCAGTTGGGTGCGGACACCTCCTTGAAGTACAGTTTGTGTGAGAGGCCCCTGTGCAAAAATGGCTGCTAGGCTCTGTTGTTTTGTTCTGTTTTGTTTTTTTCTGTTCTGTTTTTATTTGAGCCCAGTTAGCCACCAGGAGCCCTTCTTAATAGGTATCTTCTTTCTCAATGTCCACAATACAGATTAATCAAATTTGAACTTTTTAACTTTACTATACTTTGATTACACATATTTATTCCTTAAATTTCTTTGTATTGGACATATCACTCACATAAAACAGCCTTCACCCTACAACTTGGTGATTCACTGCTAAAAAGAATGTGTATTTTGGTTACTAAGCTGTCAGAGGTGTCCTAACCTCACAGGGTCCCTCTGCCCACAGTGAGTCCTGCCTGCAGGCCCTCTGGAGTCCCTCTGCGCTTGAGCACATTTTTCTCTGTTTCTCCCCTACCCCCAGGGGTACGTGAATGAGTTCAAACAAGTTTACACTGTTGTTTTACTCCAGAGTCCGGCATGCAGAGCTGACCTTTAATCGAGGGATATAAATCACTTTCCACTCCTATTATTTGTAAAGTCCCACAGCCTCACAGCACATAAAAGAGGCCTTTGTGTTGTGTCAGTTGAGTTTTTAAGCTAGAGTTTCAAGCCCATGGTAGGAACAGCTGGCTCACAGGGCACCTCCAGGATTCATCCCAGAGCCTTGCTGTTGGAGCAGAACCTTCATTTGCAACTTGACAGGAAGGTTGTCACTAGGTATGCTCCCTGCCTGCCACTCCTCCAGATGCACATGAGGTGGTCCATGCGAGGCATTGCCACGCTGTGCTCCCTCAGGGTCAGCTGAACACATGCACGGTGCTTGAGACACACTTCCTGTGACTATGCTCACTCATGACGTGAGTGTAAAGGCAGCTCCTGCTGGCATTCCTAGGAGAAGCTTTTTCTCTTGAAATCAGGAAGGTCACTGCCTGTCCAGGACATGTCTTCACATGTCAAGGTGGAAAATGGTCCCTCATTCCAGTGTCTCTCAACTCACAACAGGGGTTCTGTGGCCACCTGTTCCTGGACACTGTTCATCCCTCCGCAAGCTGTGGTCATTCTCAGCACATGGACCCCAGGACCCAAGCCAGGCACTCCTTCCCTCCTGGTAGTGGGTGTGGCCAAGGAAGTCTGCTCACTGACCACCGGCTCAGCCCCTGGGTGAGCTGCAGCAATCCGCCTGCGAACACTGGGCCGA